TGAAGGGGGGGGACCCGGCAGCGCTGGTCTGCGGGTGAGACGAGCTCTCAAGCCCTGCTACATCCGTGTGTGAAATGGTGCTTGGAACGGGAGCAGCCCTGCGGCAACAGGGCTGGAAAGCGTTCTAGGCTGGAGTCAGTCGGGCTGCTTGTTTAACAGAAGCCATGGGCCGGGCTTGATCATCTCGGAGGTCTTTTCCAGCCTCAGTAATTCTGTGATTCCGTGATTTAAGTGTTGCCTTCTTTTCATTTATATTGATACTTACTTTTTAAGTGTGGGTGGGTTTTTTATTACTGTTTTTTGGAGGGTTTTCTGTCTTGGGCCCGGCACAGGGAGAGCCAGCTGAGCAGGAACGGACCATGGCCGAGCAGCGAGATGCTGCTCTGGGAGAGGACGAGAGGAGGATGTTGTTCTTGGCGCTGTTTCAAGCTTCGTAGTTATCCATAACAAAAACTGTTCTGTTGTAATACCAGCCCTGTCCTGTAAGCATGTTGGGGCTTAGGCAGAATATAGACAGATCTCATACTGATGATAATTTGGTCTATCTTAAGACTTTTTTAATGGTTGATGTGACACTTGTCCTGTAGAATTGCCTTTTGATGTATTTCGTGCTGCAACTTTGCCTGATTTTTATGGCACGTAAAGGTTGAGTATACATGGGCTTTTTTTATGGATGCGCCTTTTGGACGTACGTGTGGGGGTCAGAGAGTAATGAGGGAGAACGTTCAGCGACTTGTAAGATTGTTATTGCTTTTTCTTCATTAACAAACCCTCTGTCAGGTTCCAGCTGGCAACCAAGTCACTTGTGACGTTTGAGGTCTGTGCAAAGCAGGTTTAAAGACTGCTGGAATGGGTGTGTGAAGTTTGATGATGGTAGGGAGGTGGAAAGATGGAGTGTGAGCCGAGGCAGACGTCTTGGAGCACCTGAAGTATCTTTCACTTTCCTGTGAGTTTATGACTAGAACTTACTCCGGAGTAATTATGTACCCGAATGTTAGGCTCCCTGCCAAAATGTTACTTTTCACAGATAGAATACATTGTTTCTCCTCGACTGATGAATCACAGCTTGTTCAATTTTTTCCTAGATTATAGCATTTGATGAACTGAAGACGGACTACAAGAATCCCATAGACCAGTGTAATACACTCAATCCTGTAAGTAATGTGCCAAACACTTTTTAAAATAAATATATGTAAAATGCTTATTTTTGGTGTTACCTTGATATAATCAAACTAGTCAAGGGAATTGCATCTGTGTTGACCACACCTCGCTGTTCGGTAGAAGTTCTAGAGAAGATTCTTTGTTTGATGCTTTACTTTCAAGTTGAATATTCTGACTGTTGTTAATCTGCTGGTGATCTTGTCAGCTGTCGTACTAACATTCTTTCAATCTGCTTTCTGCATTTTCGGCACAAAGACAGTTGAAAAGGTCAAAAAGATTAAAAGAGTCAAAATTGCATTAAAGGTGTGTACTGCTTTTCAGTTTAACGTTTTTAATGCCACTTTCCTTTTGTTTTGTTAGGAACATTTGTAATATTATCAAGCTGTTTTTAGTTTTGCTTGTCCATCTGCTTGTTATTTGTTTGTCGGGGTTTATAACAACTTCATGGGTTTCCATATTTTGCGCAAAACAATTTTGCTTGCTTACCCAGTGAAGTGGGGAAAACTGTTACATGCCTGTTCTAGGTCCTATCGATTGTCTGAAGTACCTTCAGATGGAAATAAATAGTACTGCTCAAGCAAGGTTTATTGAACTCTGAGATTATAGGAGACAAGTTGTTTTGTAAGCATCGACCAAGAAAATTCTGATCACGTTTGAGGATTTTGGTGGGCGTAATGTGATAGGCGTTATCTTCACCTCTTTGTTTTACGTTCCAGGACCAGGGATGTATCTTGGTGGCCTCTCTCAGATGCAATTCTGACACTTCTTGGTTTATGAAAAGTATTTGAGGCAAACCATTTACTTGAATCTGTAACAGGCCAATAATAAGGGATGCTTGTTAAAGAGCATATATCTGTTTTACAGCAGGGCGGCGGTTTGTGCGTTTCTCGTGGTTTTTACTTTGGCTTGGTGCCACCAGGCTGAGGTAGAACGCAGGGGCAGCGCAGCAGCGTGGCCTGAATTGTCACTTCATCGTGTTTTGATGAGTTAAGGAAATTTTGCAAAGGAAAAATGAATTTACAGTATCTGGGTGGGAGTGGAAATCAGCACGTTAGACATACAGCACATAAATTGACAGCGAGTATTATAGCAGGGGAGCGGGTGGGGAGGAGAAGAGGCGATGGGCAGAGGATTGCATCTCGGCGAGTAGGCTTTGGTGCTCGGATAGCTGCGCATCTAACAGTTTCCCTTGCTTGGTCTGTTCTACAGTCATTTCTGCTACAGGGTGGGGGAAGGCAAATTTTCATTACATTTATGCATTACGGTCTTATCGCAACCTTTGAAGTATTATAATGCGCATGTTTAATGCAAATATTAACCTACGATTAACCCCCGTGCATGTAGTGTTTATTTATTAATGATAGCTCTGTGAACTGAAAATATTAAATAACATAATATTTACTGTTCTTGTGAAAGCAGATTAGCCACTAAAAGTGGAGGTAGGATCTAGAGCCTTGAGGGGATCAGGGAAATGCTGCTGGGCAAACACGCTGAAGTGTTTTCCTGTACAAAGAATCAAAAGTGCTGGTAGGAATTGAGATGCTGCGGTAGCAAGATTAGTCCAAAGTAATAACTGCTTCGTACACTGCCAATGCTTTCTCTTTTCTGTTCCTGTTATAGTTGTAACTCTTCTTGACAACGAGATTTCTTCCTCCCTTGTTTCTCTGATCCATATCGTCGTAGAATAGGATGTAGTTCCTTTTCCATTAGTCAGCCAGGGAGGAAAAAGCGTGATAGGTGTGGAAGAGGCAGGTATTTTCGTGTGGGATTAGGGAATAACAAACAAGTTGAAGACAAACATATTTTGAAATGTGTAGTTAAATAAACTACAGATTTTCAGACCTGGTAAATCTGTCTGAGCAGGCTGCCAAATGCATTGTTTTGGGTAGGGCTGTTGTTCTACTATGAACAGTTGCCAAGCTGTAAGTGGTAAGTATACAAAGAAGAATGTGGATGAAAATATTTACTTGAAACATTTCACCTATGACAGCTTGTTTTTGTTGATGTTGCGGCAAGTTTGCTTTGTTTGATATTCTTCATTTAGAGAAGCAGAAGGTTGTAGCAAAGTAAGTGGTGACAATGTTTGCTGGTAGTTTTTAGATTTCTAGGGAGGTAGTTTTGGAGTTAAAAAGAAGCATCTGCTTGGAGAAAATGAAAAAAAATATGAAACACTGAAAGTTCAGTGTTGTGTCATCATCCTATGCAACATTAGTCACGTTACACAAAAAAAGAGAGGTGAAGTGTATTGCCTGTGTCTGTGCACCTGGATGTACACAGACAATTTAAATTTTTGGGTAGAAATGGAGAATTTTTTTATGAGGAGATGCTTCAGTGGTCCTGAGCTGAGAAATCAGAAACTTAGAGATATGCTTCTTTCTGAATTGTGACAAAGTTGTCAACGATGTTGCTTTAGGGTGACTCGTTTTAGAAAATTTTACTCTGGTGGTGGGTGTGAGATTTTCCTGGCTCGTCGCATGCATTTACTCTGTGTATCTCTCCATATTACTCGTATGAGTAACACTAACACTACCTGGCATTTCATGCTTTCTGCGATTTCATAGTAAGCTGACACTTAGCTCTGGGGACTTGTGCTGCAAAGCATGACGCTCTAAAGCAGGCGCAGCAGGGACTTGTGAGGGAACACGAAGCTGGCCTGTATGCTGATGCCGTGCCCTGGCAGCGCGGGCAGTGCAGCGCCCGTCTCTGCACAGACCAGTGACGCTCATCCGGTCCGATAAAGCTCTGCCCAGGATAGTACATTTTGGCACTAGTCTGAATTCAGAAAGTTAGCAAAGCAAAGCTGTAAAATAGGAGAACGCAAACCATCTTTTTGCCTGTAAACTGTTACATGGAGCATGTTTCCCACTGATATTTCTCTGTTGCATGAGCAGAAATATCTCGATCCCTTCTGTTGTGAAGGTCACGTATAAAGTGTGGAATCCTTTAGCAGTGCACTTAGGTATTGGGTGGGTTTTTTAATTGCTTTAAATTATTGATATGAGCTTTTGATTTTATCAGCTTTTTCATCTTGGTTCGTGAATATCATGTGAAAACAGCAAGGCACATGGTTGCTATTTTCACGTTCTGCAGTCTTGTTCTTAGCGTTGCTGTTCAATAATGTTTTTTAAAACAATAGCTGACCTCCAGCATACATTGAACACTGCACATTTTGCTTCGAGTAATCGAAACTTCTAACTTGTCTTTTTCTTTTCCAGCTTGTCCTTCCAGAGTACCTCATCCATGCATTCTTCTGTGTTATGTTTCTCTGTGCAGCAGAGTGGCTTACACTGGGTCTCAATATGCCTTTGTTGGCTTATCATATTTGGAGGTAATATTGACGAATCTGGTATTTCTGTACTCAACATTAATGGTTGCCCATTCTCCCATTGCAGTGCTTGGTGTGAAGTGTTCTGTGTCTTTGGCAAATAAAGATGCTTTCTGATACGACACTGAGAAAGCTGACGTCGTAGCTATGAAATAAGAAGCATTGCTTTGCTTTCTCTGCAATTTTTTTTTTTTTGTTCTCTTGTGCTGTGCAAGAATCAAGTTGTCTTCTGTGTGTGTTTGGTGTGTTTGAGGTAGCTGATGTGTCAGGGTGTACTAACGCTGCAGATTTGCGGTGTGGGTTGCCAGCGGAAGCGGCGATCCCGCTTTCCTCCTGCCGCTGAGACACAGGCACCGCTTCTTCTGGTGCTGGTGTTGGTCCCATGCAGGAGCTGGAGTGGTTGAAATGTAACCCAGCAAACCAGCTCTGCCTGCGTAGCTGCGGCTGTGCTAGTCCTGGCGCAAGGAGGAATCAGAGGGGTGGGACTGTTCCTTTGACTGGCAGCCTGCATTAAAGTACAATTTCGGGATCGTTCCATATTGCCCCATGTGAGTATTCCTTCAGCAAGGTTGCCAGCGTGGGATTTATTGACGAGTAGAGGCTGTGGGTTCCATAGGGTTAGATGTCGGTCTCTTCTCCAGCATTTCCAACCCTTTTGTAAGGAAGCCCGTTTTTAATTTATTTACAAATTTGTCCTGTTTCCTTTCGGCGTACCAGAGTTGAGCATGGTTTAAGGCCGAGGTAAGCCATTGCGGCAGGGTCAGTGACAGCTCTTCTCTAGGCATGTTTAATTTGGAGTTTCCCATTGCTCTTCCAGTCTATCGTCTCCTACGTGGAGCTGGTGGACGTTGCTGTACGGGCTGAGATTCCTTGTCTGGTTCTGGCGTGACTTGGGGAGGGCGTGGGGGGCAGGAACCAAGGTTTCCCATCGCCGTCACCGTGAAAGTAACTGTGCGTCGCTTCCAGGTACATGAGTCGACCTGTGATGAGTGGCCCTGGGCTCTATGATCCTACAACCATCATGAATGCAGATATTTTAGCCTATTGCCAGAAAGAAGGATGGTGCAAATTAGCGTTCTACCTTCTATCATTTTTTTACTACCTATACGGGTAAGTTTGTTTGGTGTGTTTGTTTTTTGGTTTTTTTTTCATCTGTCTCCTATCTAATCTTCAGCCTGAAACTTTGGCTCAGTGCACCAGAGGAATTTTGTGCATAGGAATATACATATATATATATATGTGTGTATATAAATAGCAACAATTTTTCTGAAAAAGAGTCCACAATCAGCATTTATTCTGTTTTAAAACACAAGTCTTAATTTGGTCAGAATTACTGTTCTGAGTCTTTATGCCATAACTGGAGACTTGAAAGCTTCAAACTTTTCTTCTTTTAAGCAAAATATGACTGGAACAGTAATATTTTCAAAGTAAGCAGGTATTGTGATGTAGATGTAATTTTACTTTTTGTTTGTTGAAGTCAAAAGTAGAAGAGTCATTCCATATATGTGACTGTATAACTAAATGTGTAACACTAATCAAAATGGTGCATATTAATATTTTTATTTTATTTTCCAGCATGATTTATGTTCTGGTGAGCTCTTAAGAAGACATTCAGCAAGCTTTCTTCCAGTTAAGTGCATGCAAAAGCCACAAAACATGGATTCTTTACAAAGAGAACCTCTGACCAAGATTAAATACGGAATCTGAAGATCGCATTTGCGTTAGAAAATGACAACTCCCCTATTTTTAAAATATTTCCACATTTTATACTTGTGGAAAGACTGTTTTCTTATATTTTACTGGGACACTGAAATTAAAGAATTATGTGTAAATTAAAGATTACTGGGTTTTGGCAAGTTTTGACTCTGCACTCCGTAAGGAACAGCCAGAATCCTCAAGTAGGTGTTGGTTCCTGACTAGCCTTAGCACACTAGGGAATTTCTTTAGGCCGGGCTTCGTAGTGGCTCGTTGGACTTGTGTCTGCCCCCTCTGACTGTAAATCAGCTGTAGCTGCCGAGTGCTTGGGAAGGCCTGGAAGTGCCGCGTGTTTTACCTGTAGGCGACGTTTGGTCTTAAGAGGTGAATTCATGGACACAATTGCAAAAAAATAGGAATTCTGTTCTTTTTTATTTTATGTTTTTTTTCTATCTGGTTAGTCCTGTATATGCATGGTTCAGAGACTTCTGTATTTTCACTGAACGTTAGTCTTGCTCTAATCTCAAGCGTGTCATTGTGATAGAAAATGTTGAATTGTCCACAAAGGAGTGAATTTAAATGATGATTTTTTTTTTATAATGTCTGTGCTATTTTATTAACAAATGGACAGACCTGCAACATTTATCAAGTCCAATGATGAAAATACTCCTGAGTTTAAGGGTAATACTACAGACCTTTTCAAAGCAGAAAGTGAGATTGTGAAACTGCCCTGCTGTCCCTTAGTGCAATAAATAATAAAAAGAAAAATCTCAAATTCAGAAACATTTCTTTTTACCTGGTGCCTTGTTTTGTTTTTTAAATTGAACAGATACTTGCTGTATCTATGTGTTTGTTTCAGGCTGGATAATTGCATTGCCTTTTAAAATAGAACACTGAATCGAGTTATATCTGGAAAAGAGAAGCTCTGATTTCCTGCTTTTTTTGTTGTTTTTTTTTAATGGGTCTGCAGATAAGTAGTAGATGGGGCAGGAAGACGTTTCAGCTAAATTGATAATATTGCATTGTAAATTGTGACTGCAAACAGTTGCTTAATTTCGGAGTAGTAATCAGGCATCTTCATTTACCTGTGCTCGCAAATAATGAAGTTTTCCACTTCTAGTAAAACATTTTTCTATAAACTGTGTATTTGATCACTTTGGGTCTCTCAGGCGTTAGAGGCAATAAAAATTGCATGAACGTCTGGACCAGAAATGCAGATACTCCAGTACTGGTGTGTCGAGCAATGGTGAGGACTGAGGGAGAAGAATAGGAAACAGGGCGGGTATCAAATATTTGTGCTTGGGTAGCGGGAGAATGTGTCTGGAAACGTGCCCTTGAAGAGCTTTTCTCCCATTAATTCAGCTGCGTTTTAAGCACGTTTATAGCTAGTATGGAAGATGACTTCTGCAATGGAATTACTTGGTGTGTAAAAAATAATCACTGAAAAATTCTGATGAACTTCATTTGGTTACCCCTAATCTCTTTTTAAGACATTTTGAAAATTTCTGTTTTTCCACCATATTTGTGCTGGACCTTCATCGTGTCCGTTTATTGTGTCACCTGTCAAAATGGAGAAGTCTGCTTAACCTGTTCTTGCTTGGCAGTCCTTGCCTAGCTCTGGGATTATCCTTTTTCCTCCACTAATGATCCTTTTCTAAGTGGGAGGAGACCAGAACTGCTGTCATCACGGAAGATTTGGGTGCCCAGGGGATTTAGAGCGGCAGTTTCCTGCTTTCTGCTTTGGAATTCCTCTCCTCTTTTTATAATGTACTGGGGGTGAGAGAATTCAGCCTGTGAAAACTTCAAGCTCTCTTTCCTGAGTACTGATACATGACAGCTCATTACTACGTATATAAAACTGTTTTTCTTCTTTGCATTTATCGACACTTAGTTTCACATGCCATCACTGCTCAAGCATTCAGCATTACAAGATGTTTAAATTTTTTTTCCTGGCTGTCTCAAAACATCTTCAACAGTTGCAGGTGTTATCTCACAGCCCTTGTTTTCAGTGCAAAGCCAACGGGTCCCAACCCACGCACTGCTGGAGCTCAGCTGGAGGGGCCCTGCCTCACCAAAAATTCATTACTCCTATTCTGCAACCCCTTTTGGTCAGTAGTTACGTGACAAAAGGATTTTATTCCTTGTGCAATAATAATTTTGAGCTTTTAGCAAAAGAATTTTTGAAAGGCTTTTTGGAAACTCAGGAATATTGTTCCTGTTAGATTGTTTTTATTTTCCTGCTGCTTTGTGCCTCCAGGGACTGCTGCAAGATAGGACTTCAGCCTGTGTGAGCAAAACTAATTAACCCTTACACATGTTTGTAAATTTAGTAATCTGTTACGGGATTGAGACTTACTGGCTTGTAGTCCCTAGTGCCTTCTGAAAAAATCTCCCTTTGTTCCCTTGGTGCTTGGGCTGATTAGGCCAAGTTACGAGGATAAGTGACACAGGATTTACTGAGTCCGACTGAAAAAACTTTCTAAAAACCCCCTCCAGCTGTGGGGTGGCTTTAGCTGGGTGTATTTAGCAAAATGTTTGCAACACTTGTGCTGTCCTCTTGATGACTGGCCTCGCACATCTAATGTAAAAGTGTGCGTGAGTATTCCTGAATGGAGGAATTCTGCGGTGGAAGTGGTCAGTGCAGTTCTGCTGGTGAGCTTGTATTTGCTGCTAAGCCCAGGAGCAAAATGCTTGTTTGGAGTCTGTCCTGCCTGCTGCGGTTAAATACGCGAGAACTGAAGAATTTAAGTAATCGCATTTCAAAGGTCTTTAAACTGTCAAAACACCACAGAGACAGGTCAGAAGTGCAAGTCAGAAGTTCAAAAGTCCGATGAAGAACCTATCACGCTGAAGTGCGAGGACTAGCCAGTGGAACCTTTCAGAAAATGCTGTTTAGAAACAGTTTTCAGCATTTTTATTTTTAAAAGAAAGTTAATGTCTGCTAGCAGCCACCCAGCCACTGGATAGTGTGAATGTTGTCATCTGTCCCCAGCAACAGGAGCCTCACATCTCAGTTTTACAGGAGTAGTCCTTGTGTGATGCAGAGTTAGGGTACCAGTCATTCTGTGTTCAAAATGTAGACCTAGGATTAATTGATTTGGGGACTTCCAGGACACAAGAGATGATGAGGCAAATAACCCTTTTTTCTTCCTATCAGTGAGGTTCCTGCTAAGTCATCTTAAAAAGCCATCTGATGTATATTTAATATCTGAATACCTTCAGTTGCAAGGATTAAGTACTGAGGAAGAGACAGACACTTTTTTGTTTCTGTTTTGAGTGTTGCGGAGTAGTGTCAGGGAAGGAAAATGCACATTTTGAGGAAGGTATTTTCTGTGTTCCCATGCTGCAGAAACCAAACAGTTCCTGTTGTCTGCCTTAGGGCTGGAGAAGGGAATGGCAGTAAAAACTAATTATAGTCTGTAGAAATTGCCTTTAAACATGCATGCAGATTTCTAGGCTTAAACATGTTAAGGCTATACATTTTAAAGTTACCAACATGGCACATTCTACTTCAACTCGATACCACTGGTGCTGGGCTAGAGTCTCATGTCACAACTTCTGATTCGAAGTTCCTGAAAGATTATTTAAATACACCATAAATATCCGTACCGCTGCAGGTTATAGGTGTAGGCTGCAGCTGTGGGGAGCACAGGAACGTGACCTCAGAGTAGGGCAGCAGTGCTGCTGTCGTCATGCTGACCAGGGAACTGGTTTCTTGAAGCACTTGAGGTGAGGGGAAAGGCACTGACAGAATTAAGTGCAAGGAAACTGGAGATGGTGACAAGGCAGGAGCACAGTCAGGATGCTGACACCCAGCTGAGAGCAATGGCACCACGACTTGAGCCCGAGGCAGCTGTTCCTCGGCTCCACTGGTTTGTCTAACAGCAAAAGTCAGGGCCTGGCTGACCCAGGCTTTCTTCCCAGAACCAAAACTTACCTTGCAGGGCGTTAGGGGATACCTGGGCTCTGAAGTGGGTGATCATTCCTTCCTCAGAACAAGCAGAACTAGTTAAAATCTTTTCTTCAGGAATCTTCTTTGGTCTTTGTGAATTGGTATAATTAGACAGGAGGGAAGTTCACTGTTACAGGCATGTTGCTGTGAGATTCTCTCCAGCCCACAGCCGATGGTTTCTTTACTTTCTAGTGTCAGTGTGCAGAGGTGCTGTGCCAGAAACTCTCCCACACAGCTACAGCACAGCATCTCTTCCTACAGCATTCGCATCAAACCCCACCTGCTTGGTTTGTCACAGATCTTCAGTACCAAACCTCCTCCTGTTAAAATGAGGGGTCTCATTCCTAAATACCAGTGAGCACACTAAGAGCAAACTGTGGCATTTTAAAATGAGTTCTTAAAAGTTCGTTAGGGGTGAGCACTCCAGCAGGAAAATTTTCATGCTTGACTTCCCTTTGGTTTAAAGCTAGAACTGAGGTGAGTTTTGTTGTTTGTTTTTTTAAACAGCTCCAGTGATGTAATTTTAACCTAACTATGTTATCCTGGCATGACTCTTACAAAAAGACAGTAGAGAAGGAGTTATCTTTCACCTCTTGCCCTTTTCCTTCCCTTACATGCTGGAGCAGAAGGCAGTTTATCTGTGCTTAGCTGTGAGGAGTTACAGACCATTCTGTCTCCTGACAGATCCTGCCTTCACCTCCAAGGTGTTCGTCCCACTCCTCATGCTTCATAGAACAGAGATAAAGTCAAAATGAAATTCAGTTGTTGCTTTCACAGCCCGGCCTCCCTTGCACTTGACAAGTTCACCGAAGTGGCCCGTAGAATGACGATGTGAAAAGATCAACGTGCCAGTTCGATGGCAGCACACCCGACTGCTGTCAGTGCCAAGCGATTTTAAACATGACATAAGACATTGCATAAGAGTCATTATTGTATTGAAAACAAGCTCATTAGGCACACAGGCCACCAGCAGAACAGTAATGAACACAAATACTTTGATGTATTTTTAAGGCAGTGAGTATTTAAGATTGCCAGGCAGAGGAAGATGCTGCACGTCCTGTAGGAGCTCCTTCCAGCAGCCCAACGCTTTACACACAGATGTGGAAGTGAGCAGCTGTGTCACACGGGCAGTAGCGATGAGAAAGCATAAAGGTCAGGAGCGAGCTGAAGCCACGGCGAAACAAAGTGGAAACACCAGTACTGGTTATCGTGACACTGATCTTAATACTGTATCCTTTGTCGCCAGATATGCAGCCAGGTTCTCTCGAAAGTCATGGAGGTAATTGTATTGCTGAAAAAGCACAACCAGATTTGAAATGAGTGTTCTACACTTTTGGAAAAGGCACTATCCATCTTAAAAAGCTGTGCTACCCCAGGATATAAAGTGCACCCTCTAGTCCAATTATTTGTTCTTGTGTTTACTCCAAATCTTCTGGGATTTGTCGCCACCAGATTACTTGGATCCTGTGGTTCCTCATAAAGGGCACACGTGAGCTCAAGGTCACGCAAAGCGCGGTTCTCAGTAGGTGGGAACTTCATGTCAGAATTCAAAGCTGCTGTATTTGGGTCACCAAGCACATTACTCTCTCTGTAATGAGTACATGATGCAGAACACAGCCTTTAGCTGGTATGATGATGTACAACAGTTTCTAGTTGGTGTTCATAGAATCAGAATCATAGAATGGCCTAGGCTGGAAGGGACCTTAGAGTTCTTAGGTCAGCTCGTACATCATGTGGAATATTAATACACAAGTGTTCAAAATGAGATAAAAAGGTTGGTCAGCAGAGGCTAAAGGACCGATCGTCCACCCCAGTGGCTGTGAGAGCTTCCAATCCTAAGGCTTGTTCCTATCCTTCCCTACCTCTTCAACCAGGGATGCAAGCTGCTGCTCCCCACCTGCCCCCTTGGTTTGTGGAAAACTGATTTTCAACACATAGTTTAATCAAGATTTACCTTCCAGAGTGGCTTAGAGATAGCAAAGAGACAGTATTTAGGCAACTCCTTATCCTCAGAAACTGCCTTGTAAACATTTTACAATGTCAGCTCCTCTTTCCTGTACACTGAACTGTTTTACAAGCATAGCATCTAGAAATCCTGTCATTAGAAGTATGTCCACAGAGTAGCTAAAAATCCCACCAAAATAAAAACCCATTATGTTCAGCAGCTTAGGCCTCCCTCCATGTAGGTTTTAACACTAGTGCTAGGGATACCTCTTAAAAGAAGCCTGCCAGTAGGTCCATGTGATAGCTCCACAGGATGAATGTGACTCACTGGGTTATGAAGATGGGACAAAACCAGAGCAGAAAAATCAAGCAGATGTCTTAAGTTGTGAGGAGTACGTGAACAATGGAAAAAGGACAATACCTTAGTGAGTGATGAGCAGGATAAGGAGGAGAAAGCAACAGATCACTAATGATGGTGAAGAGCAGACAGGGAGAACAGCTGTTGGATTTAGAAGAGGCAGAACAAGGCAGAATCAGCACAGAAATGGAAAGCTAGAAGCAGCTCAAACCCGGGAGAGCAGCAGGGGCACCAGTTGTGCAGCTTGTCAGCTGGAGAGGACTACTGAGCTCTCCACTCCTGTTTTAACACACGCGTTACCTGCTGTACCCCCATTACCTTGATGGTCTGTATCGCCCCAGATCCTCTCAAGTTTCTGAGGCTGTCTATTGCTTGCTGAGGTGCCATGTCTGAAAGCTGTAGCAGGAGACACGCAGCTACTGCAAGGGAAAGGCATATACACACGTTTGCTACTGAGCAGCTCTTGCTGTACGCAGTACAACTTCTGCATGGTAACAGGTTTGTTCCCTGAAAACCACTCTAGCAAAACTCAACCTTGTATCGGGGTCACAGATCCCCTGGATTTTTTGGATAAATACTATTTGATGGCACTGCCTTCTGTTCCCACCTAAGCCTGCAGGATTTAGAAACAGATGAAAACTTTTCCACTTCAAACCCCTTTCCCCCGGCCCCCACCTTTCTAGCAGTGTTCATGAGGCAAATTCTAAAATCTTTCCAAGAACAAGTCCCAGCACACCCAGGTCATTCCCTTTTGTGTCTTCTGGTTTCTTTTTTTTGGCAGTATCACCACCCCTTCCTTCTGGAGCTTATAGGGGGACCTTGGGCTGAAGAAATGTGCAGAGGAATAGGTTAATCTCCTCTCAAGGAAATGTTAATGGAAAAGGAGAAAGTGGAATAGTCTCAGAGGAGACTAAAATTTGCACTGAAAATGGAGAAAGTCAGAAACAGTAGGAGAGAACTTTCTAACAGCCACACTAAAAAACTCACCCAGCCTCACCCTCCATCCTCTCACCTTCATACTCAGAGCTATACCACGACATACTTATGTCACTCACCACAAACAGTTTCTACAGAGGCAGCTCATGTTACTACCACTTAGCAACACCTTTCCCAAAAAACGGGCTCAGACACATTAACTAGCCTGCTGCCTGTAGTAGCAGTTTGCACTGTAACCACAGCTAAGCCTCAAACAGAATATGGCTCCTTCAGACAGTGCTGTCTCCTGAGAATGGGTTTGTCAAATGGATTAGTTAGTCAGGCATTGAGAGGGAGAAGGCAGCTGCTTACTGAGACATGAGCGTCCACGGCCACCGTAACAGCTGAAAGAGAAAAGAACACGTGGCTGGAAAAGCTACAGTACATTGCAACACTGAAGGCCTCTCAATACCTAAATACACAGACACAATTCTTGCCTTAATATGGTCAAGAGGAGCAGTGGTACAAGTTCGACTATACCTACAAGGCTATCTCCCATTTATTCTCCAGACCTTCTTTAAGCAGTGTCTTTCTAGAGAAACTGCAATTTTGAAGTTCCCCTTCATTCATAGCAATAGTCCCAAAGGCACAGGAGGACAGAAAAGGGCATGGAAAGGGGGAGTCTCAATTTTCTTTAAATCCTACCCTAGATTCAGGCTTTGCTGATAGTTGTGAGCCACTGATAGCAGCAGGGTTCTGCAATGGCAGGAAGCCTCAGGACTCAGTGGGTGTCTCTGCAGGGAGCTGTCATTCAGGGAACATGAGACTGGAAAACTCTTCCCCTCTACCCTGAGCTCAGCTCCAAGTGCCTAAAGAAATACTTTAAACCAGTTTCATGCAATTTAAGAATGAATTTTGCACTACTAAACCCACTGAGTCCCTGATAAACATCCCCAGGGCGTGTCATCCTCTGACGACAGTTGCTTTAGCTTACAATTCACGTTGTATACCTGATATCCAACTAAGCCAGCAGCATGGAGTCACTCGAAAGACATTTTAAAGCACTTGCTGGAGAAAGCAAGGGGAAAGTGAGAGATTCAAATCTTATAAAGGCCAAGTTAGCTCCAAAAGGGTGCGTGAGGAGAAACAAAGCAGCTTTTAACAGCTTGAACTAACCCTAACAATGCATTTGTCATTTGACAGGGTTCACCTTCAGCTGGCCATGCACCTGGACAAAAGCTGGGATCTTTTACACGAAAGTGAGGTGAAAGGGAGGCAACCAGAACGTACTGTATGATTGTTTTCCTGTTACTTTCCAGGCAGCTTCTGAGCTCCTCCAGAATTTTGCAGCACTTGGCAATGTCAGGAGCGTCCCCGTCAGGAATAGGATAGTGGTGCACACAGATCCCGTGCTGTTGGTAGGTATCTATAAGATTTGGCACCCGATACTTTAACAGCTCTCCTCTGGTACAGAGCACAAATATATCCTGGGTCCCGTAGTTCTTTAGTTCTTCTGCCAACAGATTAAGACACTTGCAAGTAAACAAAAGCCTATCAAGCTTAAGGATAAACACATAAGCTACTTGGTACTGATTCTCTTGTTTAATCTTTGAGGTTAAGACAATAGGACTGAAAAATTTTGCTTCGAGCTGTGTTTACTTCTACTGAATTTTTCCCACATTTGCCTTCAGGTAACCCACAAGAGGGATTTTTCTTGGTTCAGGTTGAACCTCCAGAGAAGCCTCACCAGAAAGTATGTCAGCAGTCAGAAAGCCTGGTAACAGCTTAAGCATGGTTCTGTCCCATGTCCAGCTTTGACCATGATGGTTTTTGCTATTAGTCTCTGCTCTTCTAGTGCTTACAGATTAATACTTGGCACAAATCTTTACATAATTTCATCTTTTCTATCCAAATCTCACTGTTCTTTGGGAAGAGGAGATTATGAGTTTGTAATACATCTTGATCCTAGCTGCTCTCAAGATGCCTGCTTCTCTGCATGACTTAGCAGACCTTATGGTTACTAAGAAAGATACGCAGATGGCTGTGTAACCCCAGCCTGGAAATACTTTGACTATTTTTTTAATATTTCATAAAGAAGCCACAGAGAAAATGGCACTCCATGCTTGAAAGTGGTATCTAGTCCTCGTAACAGTTACAGTGCTAAAATGTTTCATGCATCTTCAAGCATGGTGTTACCAAAACTCAGAAAGACATCGGTGTCAGACATACCCCCAGCAAGACTTGTAAAGAACTGCCCTGCATTCCTACATCGTGGCATATCCCTGGACAACTACAGCATCCATTATGAAAATATGAATAAAATACCACTGTTTTAGATAACTGGCATATGGATCCTTGTGCCCAGACTAGAAAAACAGCAATTCCAGGAGCCCAGACTAAGACAAGATAAACCTCTAGCTTCTCTGTAACTTACACTTTCAGTTTACCTGCACGTTGTTCTTGCCCATTTTGTGGGAGTGAGAGACACCTAGAAACTGGCCAGAAGACTCACCTATATCTTTCTGTAGATTTCTTCTAACATCCTTAAACCTGCAACCTAAAACAAATTAGAAAGACAATATCCACTCCAGGTAAGTGATATTTATGGTACAGCTCCTGAAGAGGAGAGCACAGAGAACCTTGCCCCAAACCCACAGCAAACAACAAAGCCATACCCCAAATAAAACAGTTCTTGTTTTTGCAAATAGATCACTAGCGCAGAAGACAGTTTAAACAACATTATCTGCTTAATAGGGTAATGTAATAGGATTTATAAAAATCTGCGTGAGGTTTTAAATTGCTATGCATTTTCAAGGTGAAAAGTTTGGGATATTAGAAATCAGAGTACAACTTTAAAAAAAAACAACAAACGAACATCACTAACCAAACCAAAAAACACTCAACAAATGAAAGGGCTAGACAGAGCTCACTTAAGAGCTCTCTAGTTGACTGATAGAAAATAAGTTTCTCATTCTGTAAGTCAGCACAAATCACATTAAAAATCCTCCTTACTATTCAATCTTTAGCATATCACCACTTCCTTTTTTCCCCTCTGATCATGCTACCAAGGCATTTTTGCAACCCCTACAGGATATCACAGTGCCACATTCAGAGCTATCGTTTGGTTTGCGAGATGCAATCACTCAAAATACTTGCACTGTGTCCTCCTGCCTCCCCTCCTTCACTCACGGCCCCAGAGGCACACAATCTTTATCCCTGCCTTGACAACGGTTAGGAGTGTGGGTATCCTGAAACATCTTTTGAAAGCATGACAGCAGAATCCTGTGGACCAAGAGCTGTATCGGTAGGGCCTATGACTGGATGTTACCATCAGAAGATTAAACAGTCATTACATGAGCAGCTCAGGTAGTTAAAAAACACGAAGCCGCTATTTTTTGGCATATATATGTGAAGTGACCTTCAAGTACATCATCCATTTCAAGATATCTTAGATTAAAATATTATTCAACACTTGTTTTTTAGTTCTTTAGATTTTTAGTCCCAAGTTTGTATTTCTCAGGGTTGGCTAATAGAAGTTGATTAACTGCCTTATATGAGGCAGGCAAAGTTCACATTGTCACCACCAGCAGTTCTATCTCTTTTGTGACCACAGGAGAGTCACTGTGGCTGCAGTTTTGGTAGTTAAAAATACAGTGAAAACATTTATGTTTATTTTTATATCATGCCCAAAGTAGTGTAACCCAGATGCTAAAGGGAGAGCTGTGCACAACTCTCCGCAGAGAAAGTGAGTGTAGTTTGAGCCCAGTATATCTTATACAGGAATTATTTGTCAGAGCAGCCTTGTTTCACTTATGTTGTTGCTTTTTATAAATGGTAAGCCAGGCTAAAAAGCAAAATATTTTAAACAACAGTGGAATATGGCCACTATTTCCTTACCACTCTGCCATACGATCTTGCCTTAAGGTATTCTCTAGATTAGCTTTGGTCTTCCCAAAGCAATTACTCCAGTGATAGATGACAAAACATGTCCCCCCACCAAGTAAATGCATCACAGAATTCTGAGGTACATGATTACCTTTCTTAAGCCTCAAACATGCCTGCAAATTTCAGTGAATGCTTCTTACCTGGAAGGGAACATAACCCCAGGAACACTGAAGAGTAGACAGGCGACAAAGACAACCTTCCAGAAAACAGAAAATCAGAACAGAGTATTTTGATTATCTGAACAGAGATAACTCACCGCTAGACATCCCTTTTCCGTGGGACCACGAGAAGAGTTATCTACCTGTAATTCAGTTTTCAGAATAAAATGAAATAATTCCTGCAATATTTCTACAACACCGGACGAGGGAATCCTGCGTTTGGCAGCGTGCTTCAGCATAAACCTCTGGCCAGCGGGAAGGAGAGAAAGCGCTGCCAGATCCTCGCCTTAGCACCCGGACATGGGGGCCAGCCCGACTGGCAGCGGCCCGAAAAC